AAATTACAGAATTGTTTTTTTTGGTGGTTCATTTTAATGCAGGAAAATTTTGTTTGACTGCAACTGACATATGTACATTAAAATTTTTGAAAATCATTTTTTGGTTTAAAAGAATGAGAGGAGGGATTAATAAAATTTTCACTTTTTAATCGAACTTAATAAGCACTTAAATGTAATTTTTTTTAAATAAGTAAAGGCTATCATTAATAGAAGTATAATTATCAAAATATCGATTCTCGTTAAACTATATTGTCATGTAAATATCGTCATGTTAAACTATATCGTCTTCGTAGGATTTTTTTTAAATGGAACTATTATAAATCACTTTGCAATTAGGGTTTATCTTGCATTTTAATGAAAGAATGTTACAAAAACACAGACAAACAAGTTTAATATTTAAATTCTTGCAATAAAAATTTCATTTGAAAAGTGAATTTCCTTATAGATTAAAAATTAAAATTAATGCTTTTTAAATGTACAGTGCACAAAAAAAAAAGTGGACAACCCTGAATAACTTTTGATCCCCTTATGATCAAATTTTCACGTTCTAGGACTCAATCTTAATGGATCAAGGGGGTGACTTCAAATAAGCTAATTAAAAAATGCAGACAATATTTTAAGTAACAAAATTGGAAATTGATTTCGAAGATTTCAGATATATGAAATTCGATATCTCAGGAACTATTCGACCGATTTTGCTCATATTTCGTATTTTGCCTTGTAAAATTGTATTCTTTAAAATGATGCAAAAATTGTATACGTTGCAATTAAAAGATTTTCTATTATTATTAAATAAAATAATAAGAAATAATAAATATTTACTTAAAGTTATATTTTGCCTGGAATTATCTTTTCTATAAATGAATTTTCCACAAAAAAGTACCACCCTGAATAACTTTTGATCTAATAATCGGATCGTCACGTTCTAGGACTCTATCTTAATAGTTCGAGGAGTTGACCTCAAATATGCTAGTTGAAAAGTTGCAGACGATATTTTAAGTTACGAAATCAGACAAAAAAGCATACTTTCTTTGTATAAACATACCTTTTTCTCGGATTCGAATTTTTGACAACCATTATATAGTAATACGATAATTCGCGATTTAAGATATTTATAACAAATGCTTAACATAGTGAATAAATACGAGTTTGCTTAGACATCATTATTGACTGTTATTTTCATTATAAGCGTTAACATACTGTGTGATAATTGTTGCAAAAAAAAGAAAAAAATTAAATAAAATCAACTGTTGTTTGAAATTACAATTTAATTAAACGTTCTTCATTATATCATTCTATTCTAAAAGATGTCAAGAACGAAATAGTTTCTTTATTTTCTTGCATTTTAAACTTTCAGTTTCTATCTTAATTAAAATATAAGTTCGTATAACCCTAAGCTGATGTATTTATGAAAATTTTAAATCTAAATTTGGTATTTATTGATAAATCCATTTATAAGTACGGGGTGTATGATATTTTGATATGCTAAAAACATTGTTATCAATTCTGAGGAAATTGAGGTATGGGGGAATAAATTCATACTTTAATCACAATATATTTGCAAGAGATTTATTAAGGTCACCCCAAAACAGTTTATCACTTTTACTTGCACAAAAAGTTAAACAATGATACATTTTTCCAACCATTTTATATCCAAGTGATATAGGCTTGAAACTGTTTCTATTAAAGGGAATTGTGATCAAACTATTCCCTTTGAATTCCATCGATTTGATTACAATTCCAAGGGAATTGTAATCAAATCAATGGAATTCAAACAATGATTTATGTAATTATTAATCTAGACACACTGCACACATTTCTAAGACAAATTTGTTTGTTGCGATAATCAGGTTCAGATCACTGATATTACATAAACAAAAACTGTACTGAATTGGGCAACACCTCACTCCCTCGAAGTCATAATGAAGACAAATACAATGGAACTTGTCAGGTTGGCCATTTGTCTAAGTTGATCTCTATTTTCAAGAACCAAATCATCTTATACATAATATAAGAGAACAAACCTCTGTAATCTGACTGCCAGTCTCTTTCATATCTTGACAGTAAAATTTGGTCCAATTTGTACAAAAGTGTTATTGATTTCCATTAGAAATCCTTTATAAGTTGAGCTAAAAGAAAGACTTTTTAGAAACCTTAACTATGCTATTATATAAATTTTTGAATTTACTAAATTGGTAAAAAGTATTAAAAGCTAACCTAAGCTAGCTCTGTGAATTGACCATACGGAAAAAGTATTTAGATCTTTTGTAAAAAATGAGTTTGTCAATAGATATAACAAAACAAATGTTTAAATATTGCAATTAATATGAATTTATATGTAATTAGTTTTAATTGCATATATATTCCTGTGTGCTGATATTTTGGGAAATTATTTTATAATAAATACCCTGTCACTAACAAAACATTCATTTTTGTTTTTTTTTAAAACTAATAACTTTATGTATATAACAAATTGTAATTTTTTTCCAGTAATTATTTTCGTTTGTTGAGATATTTGACGGATAAAATTTAATGTCACTTCAAAAAAATTTAATAGCATTTATCTTTATTTTTGTTTAGTAACATATTAGAGGTATACGTACAAACGTGAATAACATGGTATAAAAAATAATGAGTGGAAAAACAACAACTATTCCCCTTCTGTTAGTTGACCACTGATCTAAGTTGACCATTAAAGTGTATTCCAAGTGGCACTTTGATTGTGTCGAAATTAATTAAGTCTGTTTTTTAGCGGAAAAACACATTACACTTTATTAGCCAAACAATATTCTCTATTTATACTTATTGAGAAAATAACTGCAAAAACGATTACTGAATAAATTAATCTCTGTGTTTTTTTCATCGTGTATTTCGACACAAAAGAAAGTGCCTTATTGTTGTCGTCACTTGTCAATACTGACAAGCCTATTTTAAGGCAGAAGGGTCCGATTCTTCTAGTTTTCCAGTGGCACTATCTATGGCCAAGAATTCGACTTCAGCCACACACATACGTCACAGCCTTTTTTACAGGGAGGACTCATTCACACACCATCCATTCAGTCCAGATCGTAATTTTGACCTGAACCAAGGCGCGATCAATCTCTTCGATAGATTGAGCGTGCATCAGTCACCCTTTTGTATCACCCTTCGGTCAGTGGGGATCAAACTCAAGACCTCTTGGATATGGGACAAACGCATTACTAATCGAGTTATCCCGGCGTGCTTTATTATATGATCGAAATATTTGTGTGTCTATTTATATGACATTTTTTGTAATTTTTCAAGTTGTTTTATCTTTATTAGGTCAGTGTTTTTTCTTTTATTGTTTTGGGAATACAAAGTAAACAAAGACATTCATCGCTTGACTGAGGACAAAATTACCTACCATGGCCATTATTAGTAAAGCCCAATGGAGAGGGGCTTAGTGCCTGGCCATGTGTAGTGGTAAAAAAATCAATTTTGTTTAATTGCAAAATATCTGAAGTTTTCATTACTTAAATATTTTTTTTTTACATAAAAGATTGCATATGTATATTTTATCATGGTGAAGAAATCTATAAAGTCAAATGTGAATCAATAATTATATATTGACTTTATGTATGATAGATAAAATAAATTAATAAAAACAAAAATTTATCGAAAATTTCTCTTAACACCTGATGTGTAACGAAATTGTTATTTATAATTTACTATTGATATTTATAAATGGATACAATTCATATAATCTTTTTTAGTTATTTCTAAAAGACTTGGAATACAAGAAACGTTTGTTTAATGCTAAATCTTACGTGTCTCGTTGGTTCGATGCTGATAAGCCATTACTGAAAATATTAATTTATTAACAGTTTCTTGATGTTTCTAAGCAATAGTGTGCTATTTTTTTAAAAATTTACTGAAGTTGACATTTAACACAACATTCTATAAAGTTTTAACAAATATGTAAACTGATTTTCTTACATTTATCAAAAAAACATTTACACGTTTTTTTCATTAAAATTAACAAAAGTATCAACTAATTTAATTACATTTATTAATAGTGTCATTTAAAGCGCTATTCTATTAAGTTTTAACAAATATAAAAATTAATCTTCTTTTGCTTATTAAAAATGACATTTAACGCACTATTCAAGTTTTACTAAATATACATAATCTAACTTTTCTGAAATTCATTAAAAAATACAGTATTATCGTTAAAGTGTTACCGTTAAAGTGTTACCGTTAAAGCGTGAAATCCGTCATTACTTAGAATTACTAGGTATTTCTAGTCAAGTCAGTTAAAGTATATAGAATTATTGAATTCAGCTATTTAATTAGGTATTGTATAGAATAACGATTACTGGATGATTAAAGTATGAAATACGTCACTCGAAATTCTTTGAACCGGTTCTAGCTGCCTTTAATCAGTTTTGAATCGCTTTTAATTGCTCTGCAATGGCACGTGTGAGTACGCTTCATTCGTTGCTTTAAGACGTAGTTATTAACATGAGCAACAATAAATTATATAAACTGCTTTTTTTTATTATTTATCAATCAATCATCTGCAATAGAGATAAATGTATTTTTTCGAAAGATTTTAGCTATTCATGATCAATCAATTAATATAATAACTTTGATATTGTTTATTTTTCACTTCACCGGTAACAAACATATATATATATATATATATATTNATATATATATATATATAAATTCACTAAAAATGATACTTGACACGTCATTCTACTAAGCTTTTCAAATATTAACTTCAATTGTAAATTATTATTTTCAAAGTTGCAAGAAAAGTATTAAGTTATACTTAGAATGTGTCCTTTTGTCTCGGACGATCTCCTCCGCTCCCCTCCCCTGAAGTTAAATATACTCTGACGAAAATAATCTATCATTTTAAATCAATCTAATATTATATTCGCCTTTAAAACAATTATTAGAGAAAAAAATATTTTGCCTGATCCTTCAATTATTCCCAAGAGTCCTTGGCGCCCCCTATTTACCACAACCATTCATCGCCAATCTCGTGCCCCAGCAACCCTGTCACCTAGCTGTGTCCTTTCTCAGCGCAGTGCGGTACACCGGCGGACGCCCCAGAAAGCTGAGAGCTCGAAAATATATTCCAAACTTCTTTATTTTATAAATAATTTAAAGTTATAGGATTCATTTGGTACTAAATTTTGAAGCATCAAGATGCCTGTGGACGTAATGTCTTTTGCTAAGGATTTCTTAGCTGGTGGTATAGCAGCTGCTATATCTAAAACTGCTGTAGCTCCTATAGAAAGAGTTAAATTGTTACTACAAGTACAGCACGTATCTAAGCAAATATCAGCTGATCAACGATATAAAGGTAAATTTAAATTTTTATTTCTTAGAGTTTTACTATTAACTTAGATATGCTTATGTTATAGGTTAGTATGTAATCGTATTATTATAATCGTATTTTTATTAGAATTTTAAGAAATGTTATCTAATAAATAAATAAATGAATAAAAATAAGTAAAAATGCTAACGTAGTATTAATTGTTTTACGAATATTGTTTTACGACAGTTAATTTCATTAACTGTCAATTGAAGCAGTGTTCTTAAGAGGAGAAAAATCAAAGAGAAAGGGTAAAAAATCAATAACTAGGGTATCATATTAGATTATGTATTGAATAATTGGATCGCGTATTAAATGATATATAGTAAGAAGTAGAAATGCTTATGTTGTACCTTGTTATGTAATAGTATTATTATAATCGACTTTATATTGGAATTTTTAAGAATTGTTATACCATGAATAAAATAGCTAAAAATAGTAACGTTGTAAATCGTTTTACGATAGAAATTAATACTCGGTTAAAACAATGTTGCACAAGGGAAAAATCCAAGAAAAAGGGCAGAGAATCAAATAATTAGGGTATTATATTTTGTGTATTGAATAATTGGATCGTGTATTAAATGAAATATATTAATAGATTTTTATTATTTAACTTAGAAAGAATTATGTTGCACATTATGTAATAGTATAATCATAATGGCATTTATATTGGAATTTTTAGTAATTGTTATTTAATAAATGAAAATAAAACCTTGCATAAATAGTTTTACGATTGAAAATTGATTGATTGATTAAAAATCGAGATTTTCCAATTATAAGTTAATATTGAAAAACAAATCAATTCGTTTTTTGATAGCAGACTTACGGAAATATAATGATAAGCAACACTTTTCCTAAGGGTCACATTTTAATATATAACTGTTTTTAGTATTATTTTTAGCATTGTTTCCAGATAGGTATTTTACTTGTTTTAAAATTTTCCACTGTGGATAAGCCCAGGTTTACTTTTAGGGGAGCTCAACCAAAGTTTTAGATTTATAATTAATTCAAGTCCAAGTAAGCCCGAGATTTACAGAATTATTTTTGGGGGGAGGGGATCTACCTCACCGGCGCTCAAAATGCGCGTAAGTCAGATAATAGTCATACCTCTCTATGAGAAAGATAAAATAAAATATATAACTAGAGAAGATCAGATTTATAATCTTGAGGTTCAGTACTTGACAATTGTTATATTTAATAATTTGTACACTTCACACTTATTATGGAGCCGTAATGGTTCAATGGTTAAAGGCACTGAGCTCACTTTGTGTAGAATCGTAGTTCGATTCTTAGTGGTGGTTTGAAACTCACCCAGCTTCAGAACAATTCGTACCAACTAGCCTGGGAAGTACAGGTGGGTAATGCGCAATGTCAACCACATTGTTATCAACTATGCCGGTGGTCAAAAAACGCTTCCGTGACCTCCATGACCTCCAAAGTTAAGAGGGAATGCTGCGCATTTACCTTTACTCTTTAATCGAATTAAACGGGTCTGTATAGTTGTGCGGATTACAACATGGAGAAAAAAAATACTGGTAAAATTACTGTACTGTAAAGATGTATCTGGTAAAAACCCATGATTCTGGTAATAAAACCAAAGTTTACGGTATTACAATTATTTGCATGGTAATGGTTTACCGAAAATTTTGGTTTTCAAAATTATAGTTCCTAATATCACGCATTTAAAAAAAAAACTAAAAAGTTTATTTAACCCTACGAAAATGGGTTTTTTTTGGCCAGGCTCTAAGATATCATGATAAAATTACAAAATTTTACCACATGTACCAAGTTTTAAAAACGACGTTTTATTGTGAATTTTATCAAAATCACCAATTTTACCATATTCAGGAATTTTTGACCATTACTTTTATCTCAGTGAAGTTATACAACTTTTGCATGAGAAAACTTTACCATGATCCCGAAAACTTCTATCAGCATAGGAACCAGAGTTCAGGTTGGGATCAAGCAGAACTCGTTTCTTCTCTGATGTATACAGAATAGTAGAGCAATAAACGGACTATCTTATTGATTGCTTGAAAATGACGGTGTATTTCGCCAAAAATGTTCTTACAAAACGTGCGTTGAACAATTTGAGTATGTGGCAGATCGTTATAATGCCTTAAACTCTTCATTTAATTTTTTTGGAAGTGGGTATTAATTATTAAAGTTTCATAGCATTAAAAACTTTGCCTGATTATATTTTTCAGTTAAAATTTATTTATACTTACAGTTTTTTATGATTTTATGCGAGACTTACTTATTTGTAGAATACAAAAAACTGGATTTTGTTCTTATAACTTTTGTTTTAACTTTTTAGTTTGAATACTAAAAATATGTTAAGCTCAAGTACAAAAAATTTCCATCGTTAAAATATCGCTACAGAAATGAAATAGTTTCAGTTTTTATAATTAATAAAATTAATGGTTGTGGTTCAAAAATCCAATTTTCCATTAATAAATATGTAGTTTCCTGCTTAAGCATGATAATTAAAATAAACTTGACTCAAAACATGAAATTGCTTTTTAATGATATATAGTTTACGAATGACAATCTTAACTTTTTCCTAAATGCAAATATTGTGTTAATGTGAATATTTTTAAATTAACTTCGACAAGTAATGGTAGCGAAAAAAGTTTCTTACTTAAATGAATTTATTATTTTCTTTTTGAAAATAGAAAAATACTCATAACTTTTTAAATTATTATCACATAATTTATTTAAAATTTTTATTTATATCAACTAATTAGAATTACCTCACTTGGCACAATTGATGGATCTTCTGTCAATTTGATCCTTAAATATGTCCCAATAACATTGTATTATCTTTTCTTTCTTTATTATTTTTATTTTATTTTAATATGCCGAACTACGTAAGTCTAATATTTGTTACTTCCATTTAAAATTTCTGATTTCGAAACAAACGTCATTAGGGGAATTTTTTACATCAATATTAGAAACTATATTTGCGTAAAAATAATGCAGACATTATTTATAAAATTAAACAAAAGTTGGGTAGTTATAAAAGCAAACAATTAACAACTAAACGTTTGAAATGGACCAAGAAAAGGTGATTTCTATTGTTANAAAAAAAAAAAAAAAAAAAAAAAAAAAAAAAAAAAAAAAAAAAAAAAAAAAAACAAGAATCAAATTTTTCTTAGTTAATTTTGTTTTGTGCAGGTTTTGGGTGGCTTGATTGATCTCTGAAAGAATTGATCTTGATCTTTAAAAATGTGATAACTGTATTGACGAATAAATATTTTTAAAAGTTCTTTCAAAAAGAAATTATTATTATTTGTATTTATTTATTGTATGCCATAGAAATTTCCTTTTTACTCTCTTTATACAATTGCATGTATTTATAGCTTCTCTAAATGATATTATGATACACAAAATATATTTGAATTAAAAAAGAAAAGTATATTTTAAATTTTATTTTAAAAGAATTTTATTTAAATGTTAAATTAATTGCTAAAATATTTAATATAAATTAATTGCTTATTTAAATCGCACGTTATTTACCTTCTTTAAACGCATTTTTCTCGAAACTGTGCTTTCTAAGCTTTGCGTAAGTGCAGCTTTCATAAAAACTGGAAGTTAGATAAGAATCAAAGTTTGCAAGATTTTTTTTATTAAACATATCCATGCTTAAAAAATTCTTCTTCTACTTTCTAACGGATTCGGCTTTAAATTTCGAGTTACAAATGCAGAAATAAAATGTTTTGATTTAATGTAATGATTTCATATATTTTTTCATTCTTTTTAATCTAATAAAATTTTTTCTTTTTATACTAATATAACTAATATAGCTGTTTTGAAAAAAAAAAGGAAATAATCCTGAAAATCTTTCATAACGATTTTACTGTAATGCTAATATCTTACAGGCTATTTTGAATAACTTCTGCATTGAAAATATGTCTTTTTTCAAAACTAAGGCATGGCACAGTAGTATAGAATGCACGAAAAACGAGAGGGGAAAAGAATACCAGATTAACTTTTGATCTAATGATTGGATTTTCGTGTACTAAAAAAATCTTTTAGGTTCATGGGATTGACCTTAGATAAAATTNAATAAATACAAGGTAAGGAAGTAACGGCAACCTTACAATCCCGAATTTTATGCTAAAACAAAATACGGCTCTCCATTTGATTTACAAACTGTGTGATGTACTGTTTATTATATGTACTAAATAAATTATTAGTTTACTCATTCAAAATAACGTTTCGTTTAAGAAACCGGGAACAGAAGAAGGCGTTTTTTTTTATTAAAAGAGTATTTTTATTAAAGAATTTTCTTATGTAGAATGGCTATTTTCAACAAAATAATGAAGTTAATTTCGAAGATTTTTTATGCAAAAAGTTATGACTCAAATAATAAAAACTATTATTATTTTTTATTTGAATTATGCTCTGAATGCTATTCAGTTAGCAGTTTTTCTTTAGTATATGTGTTTCTTAATCTGTGTTTTGCAAAATGAAACAAACATAGGAAAGGCATTAAACGAAATGCAACTAAAAAAACTACTCAAAAAACCTAAAAAATGCAACTAGATAAGCCTTTAAATTTAAATATTGTAATTTTAGATCTTTAAGTGTCTTAGTATAGGTGACCAACAACCTTTATTTCTGCAAAAAAAAAAAAAGGTAAAATAATTTCTAAAAGTAGCGAAGCTAAATGTACGATTTAGGATATCAAATAAAAAAAAAACAGTGTCGACTAAACTTTCAATGTTGCAGAAATCTTTGCATTGTTTTTGCCAGGAAATAAACAACTACCAACAGTCAATTAATACACGAAGAAAATAGTTCTGGTAAAATTATCTAACTGTACGTTAATGACATTTCTGATATAAAATAATTTTGGGTAACAAAGCCAAAATTATTTCCATTCATATTATATCAGTTTACTGGAAATTCTGATTTTCAAAATCATAGTTCTTATTACCCCACATTTAGTAAAAAATAAAAAACTGAAAAGTAAATTTAACAGAATAAATGTTTTTTTATACCATGATCTAGGGTATAATGAAATAACTACCAAATTTTACTACATTTACTAAATTCTATCACAGATTCTAAAACCACATTTTTTATTATAAATTTTATCAATATCATACCTAAAGAGCTTTGATAAAAATTACCGAGGTTTTTGTTGTTTCCATAGACCCCAAAACAGTAAATTTTACCATGTTCTAGTTATTTTGACCATATTTCTTTTCTCAAAGTATATTTTAACATCTTGAAGATTTTTTTATAGTGGGATATACTGTATTTTTTTAAAACAGTGTAGCAATAGTTTAATTTAATAGTATCATAAAGTATATAGTGCCAAATATAGAGTCTACTGTCACTAAAAGCTATAATTTTAAATTAAATCTCAGTGTACATCTTTTTTCTTTATACTTAAAATGTTCTTGTAAACTCTATTCATATTAAATTTGTTTCATTAAAGTATTTATTCAAGTAGATTATGAGAAAAAAGTTTATTCGAAAATTTTGACATATACTATTTCCTAAAATTTTTATGAGCAAATAATTGCAAAACTGTCGTAATTTTCAATCATTCTTGATAAGTTTAAGAAAGAAAAATAAAGTTATAAATTTACGATGACGTTCAGCTTATATTCAAGAAAATATTTTTTAATTTTCTGTATTGAAAGAATACAAATATTGATAGTAAAATTAATTGAGTTTCATTATTTAATCATAACTAACAAAACATATTTTTGACGAAGATTTTCATTAATTTCAATATATTGCTTATGAATAATAACATAAAGCAATTTACTGACAATATACTTTTTATTATTTTTGAAAGGATAGCTTTTTTAGAAATCAAATTAAAAGACATTAAAACTAACTATTTAAAGCAACAAATTTATAAGAACATAAGTATTGCTCAAGACTCCTTAACATTTGTACCAACCGCGTACAGTGCAGAAAAAAACGGAAAAAAAATCGAACCACCTGGAATAACTTTTGATCTAATGATCAAATTTACTGGTTCTAGGATTTAATCTTAATTATTCGAGTAGGTGACCTTAAATATGCTAATTAATTAGTACAGACGATATTTTCAGTTCTAAATTAGACACAAAAACGTACCTTATCTGAATAAACATACCGTTTTTTCGATTGATTCGTACTCCCAAATTATAGGGGGTAGTCGCAATCTGGGAAATATGGTTCTCATAGTTAGATCAGGAGAGCGATCCAAAGTTTGTGTCCCTTACTGTTAATTTTACTTTTTGCGTAATTTGCCATATCTCGAGAACTTTTTAAGCGAAATGAACCTATTGCACACAATTATAAAATTCGTTTATCAGAAGACAATTCCGTGTAAAAGTAAATTTCAGTAAATATTTTTTTTTATTACTTTATTTAATAATAGTCAAGAAAACTTTGAGCTGTAAGGTATACAATTATTTATATCAATTTAAAGTATTGAATTTTACATGGCAAAATTCAAAATTTCAGCAAAATCGGACGAATAATTGCAGAGAAATTTAATTTTAAATATACAACTTTTTTAGAATTTAATCCAAATACTTACTGAAAGTTATATTTTGCATGCAATTATCTTTGGATAAACAAATTGTATAATTATGTGCAAACATTTTTCAAATCACATAAAAAAGTTCTCGAGCTATGGTGAAATGCGCGAAAAGTAAAATTTACATAAAGGGGTCCATACTTTAGATTGCTCTCCTAACCAAACTATGGGGAAAATATTTCTCAGATTGCGGCTACCTCTACACTTTGGGATCAGAAATCCGAACCCGTTAAAAAAAAAGGGGGGGGGGAAGGGTATGTTTATTCAGAGAAAGTACGTTTTTATTTCTGATTTCGTAACTTCATATATCGTCTGCTCTAATTAATTAACATATTTAAGGTCAACCTCTTTTATCATTGGGTCATAGAACGTGAAAATCCGATCATTAGATCATAAGTTATTTCAGGAGGTCTGTTTATTTTTTTTGCGCACTGTATATGAGCGTAAGCTTTAAAATTATGCATTGTTGTTTCTAACTGCTAATGGAAGGAATGAAATTTTTGTAAAACAAATATAATTATTATTTCATTATTCATTTTTAAAAACAAGTTAAAGTTGGCAGTTGTTGTTAACCGCTTCGATTACCAATTTTTTTTGTAAAAAAAAAAAAAAAAAAAAAAANTTTCCGTTTCAATAAAAAAAAAAAAAAAAATACAAAAAATCAATGTCTTTTTTTAAATTACATTAATAAATACAAGGAACTAAAACAAAACATAATACAAAACATAATACACAAGTTCTAAGTTGAAATTTTAATTTTTTTTATGTCTGAAAAGTATTTAATTTACCATCAGTTTAGTTTACTGTCCCAAATTATCTCATGCAAATGAAAAAAGTAAAATATTAGTCTTTGCATATGTTCACATCTTCATAATCTGAAAAATGAACTACATTACATTCACTTTCGCTCGCTAACGCCATTTTTTACTCTTTTTTCAATGTAAAATTTCAACTTCACATGTACTTTTAGCTCCTAATTTGATTATCAATACATTCTTGCATTTATAAACTTTTTTTTCACATCGCAAGAAGTATAATGATAATCAAAAGTATTCAGTAATATATCTATCTAATAACATATTTTTTTTTTTATAAAATAAGTAAATACTTATACTAACTTGATCATTAATCATAAGCTTTTTCACATAAAATACAATTTCCTTTACCAAGAGATTTTTTTCTTTTTTGATAATATTCTTGGATTTTAATAATGGCTCAAAAATAACCTTCAAAATGCGCATAATAATGCTCAAATAACAAACGATAAATAAACTAATTAAAAGGAATATTGTAATTTCATTCTTTTTCTTAACGGTAAAAGCTTATAAAATTTTATCTTTTTTTTTCATGACTATAGAATTGTCTCCCACCAAACTACACGGAATATTTTTAGTATGATCTGTTTTCTTATTTTACTTTATTTTTTTCTTATTATTAACTATTAATCACGTACAAATAAGTATAAAATATTTTCACAAAATGAATTTTTCTGGAACTTTTTTTACAAACTTTCGGAACATTTTTTTAATATTTCAGCTATGGAATCACTATGTAAGGTTTGAAAAAAAAACATGATTATGTGTTTATAACTGTTAAGGCAGAATATTTTATTAGCTGAAAGATCTGGAAGGTATGATTTAAAAAAAAAATCGCCTGTTTTGAATCGCTAAACGAAGAATAAGCAAGGTTTACATAATATTTTAAATGAAAGCGAATGCTTAATATTCTGCTCAAATATTCAAGGACTATTTTCAAAACTTGTCATCATTCATTGACAATTTAATCGATAATAATGATGAGAAGAGTTCAAATTCGAATTTCTCACTTTTTATTTTATTATTATTATTATTTTATTTTTTTGCAGAAAGTTATTTATTTCAAATACTTAAATTCTTATCAATTTTTTTAAAATATTAATTAAAGCGTTATTTCCCCCCATTTTTGTTAGGTTTATATAGTACACTTTAAACTTAACCGTTTAATAAAGTTGAATATTCTGCTTAAATATTCAAGGACTATTTTTGAAACTGGTCACCATTCATGGATAATTTCTTCGATAATAAAAATAGGAAGAATTCAAATTCCAATTTCTAGCTTTTTTTTGTTTTGTTTTGGAGAAAATTATTTATTTGAATTGCAGCTATTTAACGAAGTCTCAAAATCCCGATAGTAAGTTCATTATATGGAAAATTATTTAAAAAGAAAATCACCTTTTGAAATACTTAAACAACACAAAACAGGTTTTAAATTCATAAATGTTAGACATAATTAAAATAGCAATTGCTACACCTTTATCTAAAATACACCTTTATCTTGTAAACTTGCATCAACTATTTATTTTATAAATCTTAACCATAAAAGAAATTTGCATGGAAAGCAAGAATAGAGCAAAACATTGTACAGTGATACACTATCATGCTACATACATTTTCAACTAAAAAAAGCTGAATTTATGTATAAAATTATAGCAGCATTTATTATAAAAGTAATTTTAAACATACATTAGCACATGCGTTCTTAAGTTTAATTAGTATTGATAAAATCCGTTAATTTGTTTGAAATGCAAAGAAAAAGGGAAAGTGATTTTACTGCTTTCTCCAAAAGTTAGCTTCGAAATTCAATTTCCTCCATAAAATGCGTTAACAAGTTTGAAATGTTCTAAAATATTTTGGGAAAAAGGGAAAGTAGATCTCAAAGAAAACTTCGTTAAATCGAAAATTCCTTTTGCTATTTGGAAGTTATTTTATGAAGAAATTTCCAAAATGTTCTAGGTTCCTCGAAAAAAATCGCAAATTAGTAGTTTGTTAAATAGAAGTCCGACTGTATTAAAATTCTTATCAAAAGTCTTTTATATAATATATTTTTTTATAATCATTTTTAATAACTACTGTTTTTTCTTTAAACAGGTATTGTTGATTGTTTGGTCCGCATTCCCAAAGAACAGGGTTTCCTCAGCTTCTGGAGAGGTAATTTAGCCAATGTCATTCGATATTTCCCAACTCAAGCTCTGAATTTTGCCTTTAAAGACAAGTACAAGCAGGTTTTCTTGGGCGGTGTCGACAAGAGGACACAATTCTGGCGATATTTCCTGGGCAACTTGGCTTCTGGTGGCGCTGCTGGGGCAACATCTCTTTGCTTCGTATATCCTCTGGACTTTGCCCGTACCCGTCTTGCCGCTGATGTTGGCAAAGGAGCACAGAATCGTGAGTTCTCAGGTCTCGTCAACTGCTTGGGTAAAATTTTCAAGTCTGATGGACTCCTCGGTTTGTACAGAGGATTCAGCGTGTCTGTACAAGGTATTATCATTTACCGAGCAGCTTATTTCGGTTTCTACGACACAACTAAAGGTATGCTATCAACTGATCCAAAGAATACTCCATTGGTGGTTTCTTGGATGATTGCTCAAACAGTCACAGTTATATCCGGCATTATCTCTTATCCCTTCGATACTGTCAGAAGGCGTATGATGATGCAGAGTGGACGAGCCAAGGCAGACATGATGTACAAAAACACCTTGGATTGCTGGGCCAAAATCGCCAAGTCAGAGGGATCTGGAGCTTTCTTCAAGGGAGCTCTCTCCAATGTTATTCGAGGCACTGGTGGTGCCTTTGTATTAGTTCTCTACGACGAAATTAGAAATTTCCTGGTTTAAATTAAATTATTAAAATTTAAAAAAGAAAAAATCTAGACATTTTAAGCAATGCAAGACATTTTGAAATGAATTTGTAGTGTCCAGTACTGTAACTATCCAAAAAAAAAAATTAATTATCAAAAAAAATTGAACTTTATTGATACCAATTTTCCAAAAATAAATTATAAAAGGCATTGTTGATTATTTTGGTGTTTTTTTACATTCAAAATGATTTCATTAAAATAGGCAATCATAGTTTTTTTTCTTCAAGAGGCAAGACCAAGTGACGGCATTAGTGCTTGATATTCTACTTTCGCACTGCGAGATAAAGGGAAAGACAATGGAAAAAAAAAAGATGAAGTATTACGTTTTGCTTAGTTTAAGAGTCCCCACCATTTTTCGTACGAGAAAAGGAACTATTGTTTCATAGATGTACATTGTTTCATAGGTGAAAAACTTGGCACTTTTGTTTCTGCTTTAAATAAAAGTCATGTGACTGGAATTTATAAGTTACGTGTTTCCAGAAACATCGTGCTAATAAATATCTTGTGATATGTTTTGTGTCTTTCATTTGAGTACAAAAACTGAAGAATAATTAATTAACATTATTAATTTTGACTTTTAATATGAAAATATAATTGGCAGTTTTGAAAATTGACAGTATCAATATTTTAATATGAAAATATAGTTGAAGTTATTGATAGCGACTTTAATGTTTTAATGTAAGAGTATTTTTGATATGAATTTTAACTATACTAACGTTTCTATATGAGAGTATTACTACTTATCCTCTTCGATCAGAACTGGCACATAAGGCCTCGAGTCTTTTTATCCACACACTCCTGTATTTGGCCAGGTAACGCGCTTCTTCCCACCCAGTTAATCCTGCTCTATTAAGACCTTCCTTAAAGCATCTTTGCCATGTTAGTCTCGGTCTCCCTCTTTTTCTCTTTCCGTCAGGAACCCATGAACTTGCAACACCAGCAGGATTGTTCCTACCTGTTCTTAGAATATGGCCGAACTATCTCCATCTTCGTTTTAAAATTTATATGAGAGTATAATTGACGTTAAAGATACTGACATTATTTATATTTTAGAATGGGATTATAAATGTTTTTATATGTCTATATTATTGAAATTATTAATGTTTTAACATAACCTTAAATAATAATATTTAGTGAGTTTGCATATAGTGATTTAATCTAAATATAAATACTCGGATTTCATGGCAATTTTGGTTTTTTGGCCTTATTTTCTACGTTATTTGTTTAAGACGAAATAATATTAATTTAAAGCTGTTTTACTCATTTTTACATAGACTGCATTGTATTTTCTTTAGTCAGTACATGAAGAAAAAAGTTTGGTAAAATGACCATACTGTTTAGTAATGACATTTCTGGTGGAGAAAAAACCCAACCCATTATTCTGGTATTTAAAAGCAAAAAATACGATATTTAAATTCTTTATTTTGGCAATTTTTCAGTTCACAGTAATGCTTACGGGTAATTCTGGTTTTCAAAATTATAGTTTTTATTACCACACATTTAATAAAAATATAAAACTGAAAAGTAAATTGGAATAAATAGTTGAAAATCTGAAAAGTAATAGAATAAATGGTTTTTATGCCGTGCTCTAAGGTATCATGATAAAAGATCTTTTAATTTTTTTCTTATTAAAGAAGAAATATTTGATGCAAAAATTTAAGGATTTGTTTGTCACAGGAATATGCTATTAAATAGTTAGTTTATGAATATGTCAAATTTAACCCAGTTTGGGCACTAAGTTTTTTAAGTTATTTTGTAAATTGAAGTATTGTATTTTTTAAAATGAAGTTAAAATAGCTATTTTTTTATGATTATGATTTTTCTTAAGATATCAAGAAGTTGATGGATCAGTGAATAAAAATGCAGAATAAATGTTTTAGATAATTTATTCTTTAGAGATAAATTGAAAGTTGTGTTAATTATAGAATATTCTTTTGCTAAAAGATAGCGTTAAACATTATAAACAAAGAGCTTTAAAAATGTTCACAACCCTAAAAATTTTTTTTCAAATGATTCTAGGAGCGCATGATTTCAAAGTTATTTTTTATAAATACAAAACATATAATTTTGTTTAGAATATTCTTAATAAATATCATTACAGCTTTAATAATGACTTATTTTTAGTTAAGTCATAAATTTGATGTTTGTTGAAGTCACATAAACAATAATAGTCACGAGAAATCAAATAAATAATAATAAATTTTCATTATTTATTTGACACCGCAAAATATTGCCACATGAATTTAATGAGTCTTAAAATAAATTTACAATTCCGAATCTTAATTGTTTGTACTCTGACATTAAATCTCTGAACGCTGTGCCTATAAATAGATGACTATAAATAGATAGATTGTTTCAAAGAATTGTAAACCACTTTTAATAAAATAAATAAATAAAATGAAATTCTGAACATTATAGTAAAGAAATTAAATCAAAATAGAGATATTTGAAATAACCTCAAATCTCATCATAAAAAAACTAAACATATCTTAAAAATTCTTTTATATAGAGATTTAATTTTTTACTTCTGATTTCAATTTTCTCAAAAATTTCTGAAAATAGATATATTGTATAAAAATAGATATATTGCAATTCAAATAGATATATTGCAATTCAAATATTCTAAAAATAGATATATTGCAATTCAAATAGATATTTGAATTGCGGTTTAATACATATTTTACACAAACTCCTGTAACAGTTATTCTACATTTATTTAGACAATAATCGTACTTACGAAATTAATTAATTTTTAATTATTTCATAATTATTTCTTAATTATTTTATATTATATATTATAATATATAAAATATTATTATGCATTATATTACATTATTTTATAATTATTTGATGAAAATATGTTTCTTACTTAATCTGACGTTAGTTCGAAGTCTATATAATTTTGAAAATTTTACTAAAAATTGACTTGGTATATAGGAGACAAAACGTTTTTGTAAACTTAATATATCTTCATACACGTTAGCAAATCTAAAATTTTATTTTTAGAATATTAAGTTACATCATAAAATTTTACCTATTTAGGCTTTGTGATTCATTGTATAGTTTATTTTAAAGAAAATTTATTTTTTATCAATCAATAAAGCACCAGATAAACCAAATTTATAATTACATAAATGACATTCATAAAAAATTATAAGAATGAAGTTAGTGATCAAAGAGATAAGGGTATTTACGAAAAACAATAAAATTATTTATTGAAGCAATGTCTTAAAGAAATTACAATGGATTATACAAGTAGAATATTGGATTATGATTTAACATTAAGCATCCATTGGGAGGTTTTGTTAAATTTAAGTTATTTGAGTTTTATAAATTCTTAGACGAATTCTCTCTACGTTTATAAATTTCTGATTCAAATGTCCAGTGGAAAATGATAAATGAAGTCCATGTCTTATTTTATCATGTTTTCTTTTCACTGTAAATGCTACTAACAAAATTACTTAGGAAACAGGTATGAAAGCAATTTTAGTTCAATAGTTTTATTTTTTAATAAAGCCAACAGCTGTTTTTAGGACGTTAAATTTACTTCCTCTGTTTTACTTTTCGTTATTTTTTATTTGAAAATCTGAAATTGCGAGAGAAAAGAATATGCCTTAAAAGCATTGATTAAGTTGATTATAATATTGATTGAAATATAATATAGTACAAATATTGTTTCAATTTAATTTTGTGGTAAATTGAATTTCGAACAATCTAAAAATTTCATCATAGAGAAAAACTTAAAGGCACATGAAATTGATTTTTTATTTATTTAGATTTGTAGGTGTAATTAGATTTTAGTTGGTATAGTGTACAATTATTACATGAACTAAATTATTTTTATTTTTTCACCTATAATTACATCGAAAATCAAATAAAAACAATTCTAAATAGAGCGACTGGAAACTGCAAAAAATTTTCAATCTGCAATTATACGAAAACAAATTAATAGCATTATCCAATTTCTAACAATGTTGCAGAAAATTTTGAGGTGATTATTTATAAATGTCAAAAGTATGGGGAAAAAAGATATTCCCATTTTTATAAGAAATAGGGTAAAATCCATTTTTAAATTTTATACAATTTATGACCACCTATTGGAAAGAAAATTGAAACAACAGTAGGAAAATCAATTATTTTACAAATATTTATAGTTATAAGTTGTATAAAATTTTGTTTATTATTTTACAGAAACTTCCTGTAAAAAATATATGTATTGATAATAAATAATAATGTAAAAAATATATGTAAATTTAAACATCGAAGGAGTAAGAATCACAAAATTTGAGGACTATACACTAACTTTTAATGAACTTATAATACCCAACTCGTATATTTAAATAAAAGTATGTCTAATAATTTTACGTTCTTTTATGATTGTTCAAAATGGTGTATTCCTTTTGATAGAACAGGATAAAAATAACCAAAGACTATACAAAAAAGAAAATGGCTCAGTAACCGAAGACGTTTGGCAAAAGCAACGTTTCTATGGTTACCATGCATGTATGGATCGATTGCATCATTGACCGTCTGCGTCATAAGGACGTCAGTCTCCTACGTAGCGCTTTCTCCTCACTTTGTAGGCGATTAAATCAAACAAAAATTTTACACCTTTTTGAAAAACGCTTGCTCGGAAACCCAGCAATGAATACGAACATTTAAAAAATTGTTAGCTTTTATTATTGTTTTCCTTGACTTTGAACTTTCTAATACATAATTCAGTTATATTTCTTTCTTGAAAATTATTTCTTTTTATTTGAAATTAATTGCTTAAAAGAAATTTTTTTTTTATGAAAAAAAAAGAACTTTCAATAAAAAATTTTAAATTGTTGTTGTTGTTGTTGTTGTTGATTTACGTCGCGCTAGAGCTGCACAATGGGCTATTGGCGACGGTCTGGGTAACATCCCTGAGGATGATCCGAAGACATGCCATCACAATTTTGATCCTCNAATACGAACATTTAAAAATTTTTTAGCTTTTATTATTGTTTTCCTTGACTTTGAACTTTCTAATACATAATTCAGTTATATTTCTTTCTTGAAAATTATTTCTTTTTATTTGAAATTAATTGCTTAAAAGAAAAAATTTTTTTTATGAAAAAAAAAGAACTTTCAATAAAAAATTTTAAATTCAGAAGGTTAATACTGTAATCTTTATACATAAAAATCAATGCAAATTATAAGGAAGCGAACACTATTCTTAAGCTTTTTAAATGTTTAATTGATATTTATTCATTTTCGTTAGATTTATTGATATTTTAGAGGGCTGACAATTTCATCGCTAAAGATTTTATGGATATCGAGTTAATTAGTTTCAATGGGTAAACTGTTTTATTGCAGAGTAAAGAAAATATAAAAGAAAAAAAAAAGAGAATAAACAATTTAAAATTGATTTTTTTTTAAACACAACACCTAAACTTAAAGCCATATAACAATAAGCCTTATACTACTTTTACAGCAAACTTGAAAATTATTACCACTTAATAAACATGATTCACATTTTTTTGTTG